TTTACAGGAATGCTCCCATTATCAACTTTCTGTTTCCACTGCAAATTGGGATCTGATGTTAACTTGATATAACTCTGGTTCTATGTACAAAGTACAACAATGGAGGTTCACTATGTTAGACTATGTGTTGAATTTAACGGTGTTGACGACTGTTCCTGGACAACAACACTAAGAAGACAAAAAAAAGAAAAGAAAAAAAGAAAGACGCTTTTTGTTGAATCAAAGGAAAAGATTGAGGCACACCTAAGAAGTTATATTGACATTCCTAGAAGGCTTTTTGTCTTTGAAAAGGTGGATTCAGCATTTCTTAAAAGCCATGAAAACTGATTACAGGGTTAAACTTCCAAACTGTGTTTGATGTCCAAATAAAAGGAAATTCTCTGTTCACAATAAAATCTGCTACATTTATGCTTTGAGAATCTGGATGAATTATTATTCTCTATATTACACACAATAATAAATCTGCCAGCCATCCAGGAAAGTGTTTTCCAAGTTCAACAGTTCGAGTAAATTCCCACGACAACCTACACAGCAGTTTTCAGGTCTTCTCAGACAACCTTGTCTCGGCAAAACTATGTTCCTGTACAGCTAAACTGCATTTATGTTTTGTTTCATCTGTTTGCTTTCATTTTTGACTCACTGCTTGACCAACACAATAGTCACCAGGTGTTTTTAATGCTGTGGTAGACTGTGTAAATTATTATGAGACTTGTCCTCCAGGATTTCTCTATACTTTGCTGCATTCATTTTAACCAGTAACTTCACAAACCTCCCAGGGCCTCCAGCCAAAAAGCACACATCATGATGCTGCCACCACCATGCTTCACAGTGGGGATGGTGTTTTTGGTGTCCACTAAACATAGCATCCAGCTGACCAATACCCTCAATTTTGGTCTAATTAGAAAACAGAACATCCTTCTGTTTGACTTTAGAGTCACCCACAGGCCTTCTGGTGCACTCTAGTCCAGATTAAAAAAAACTGTCTTTCTCTTTTCCATTCTCCCATAAAGCTTTGACTGGTGAAGAACAGGCAACGTTTGCTGTATGAACAGTTTCTCAGCTGCTGAAGCTTGTAACTCCTTCAGAGGAATCATTGGTGTCTTAATAGCCTCCCTCAATAGTTTCTTTCTTTGCTCTGTAACTCATTTTGTAAGGACGACTTACTCCAGGCAGATTTTCACATATTCCTTCAGTTTTGTAATGCTGAGTTTTCATGGACTCCAAAGGATATTTGAATTTTCTATTTGAACAACACAAAACAACAGACCTTTTGAAAAAATAAAAATTGAAATCAGTTTAAATGAACCTCCCCTGCCTTCGCCCTGAGTCGGCTGGGATAGGCTCCAGCCCCCCCGCGACCCTAGTGAGGATTAAGCGGTGTATAGATGATGGATGGATGAAGCTAAAATCTCTTATTTATATCATGCACATAGAACTTAAAAAAACCCTTAACTGACTGTTATTAAATCAGGTTAAACAATTTGCTGTTAAATTGAGAGTATTATATGACTCTCAAAGTTTTGCTGTAACTCTGTAGCATCACCCTCAAAATGCAAATGGGTAGAAATACTTTCCTCTGTGAACTTTGCTCTGTTTTTCTGTCCTGCTGCATACATATGCAGCGAAGCTCTGAGGTTAGCGTTATTTACATCAAACTGCATGAAAACAAAAGTCACCTTTAGCATCCAAAGTTAGCTTTTTTTTTTTTCCCCAATGAAGAGATTTTGTCAAACTCGTCTCTATGGTAACGGCCATGCTTATGCCCGAACGATCTGCATGCATGGTCTGCCAAACTGTGTGATAAAATGGCAAGCATAAGGTCAAGATTCACTTTTTTAAATTTTTTTTATTTTCCAGGCTCCTGCTTTTTCACTCTTCAAAAAATATGAGCAACCTCTGAGACCTTCTGTTAGAACTGCTTGCGTTCTATTAAGGAGCGTCTTTTGAAGCAGGGCTGTGATGGAGGGTTGTCGTGTGTATATCGCGTTGCGTAGGTCTTCATTGAGGGTTATGTTTTTACAACCATGCTAATTTGGGGCGGCTCGCTGAGCCGTTTGGCAGCGGTGCGAGGAGGTTGAGGACCACAGAGGGTTTTTTTCATTCTGTGCCAGAGAGCAGCATTTCTCAAAGCTTTTGAGAAAACATCTGATGGAGCCTCTTGAGTGCTCCCAGATTGGCAATGTGAATAGCAGCTTTCATGGAGGCTGCTCACTCTAATGTGTTTCTGAGCACTGTGTGTGTGTGTATGTGAGAGAGGGTTTTTTCATGCATGGAGGTATGCTTGCATCATATACTTGATTTTACTGTGTGTGTGTGTGTGTGTGTGTGTGCGCGCGCAAGTGGTTTGGGTGTTTGCGTAAATAACTCGAGGCACAGGAAGAAAGCCAGCAGCAGAAATGCACAGCTGGGTGTCTTTCAGTGACTTTTTTTTTTTTTTTTTTTCCAAACGGTGATGTCTCAATCCGTCACAGAGCTACGGCAGACCTGCCTTTTTATTTATTTATGGAGACAGTAGCTGCATTTGAAACAAACAGCTCTTCACTCTGACTGTCTGTCCTGGGAATGCCTTATTCTTCTCTGACCAGCGTTTTGCTTGTTTGCCTCTTTCCGCACAGCGATTTGTACGATCCCCAGTTGTAGTGTCGTAGCTTGAAAGCCTGCATGCTTGTGTATTTCATGCTGTTGTGTCCGCAATTCTGCTCGACTAATTTGAGCCTCGTTGTCAGCCAAACCTCGTCAGGGCTGTCTCATAAGCGGTGCAGTTTTCCTGTCGGATCCAGGAGATTCTCCACTGAGGCCCGCTGCAGCATTTTGGCTTGCAGGGGTGCACAGACCCATCACAAGTGAAACAGCTTGACAGAAAGGCCTCGGCGGTCCTCTGAGTGCGACTCTGCAGCCCTCTGTCTCCCCCAAGTGGTGCCTCTTTGCACCCCACGACCACCACCGCCACCGCTGCTTGGACTTTACAGTGCATGCAACGGAGCCCGGTGGTTCTTTCTCAGTTTCCTAATGTCTTCATGAATGTGTGCAAACAGAGCAGGTGTCACTGTGTTTGGAGGGTGCTGACAAGCGTGACTTACACCGGACATGAGCGGGGTCAGATTCCTCACACTCCTCTACAAAGCTTTAGGAATCAGGGGTATTTTTTATTTTTTTCTTTGCGGCTCTCTGCAGCTCTCAGGTTCTAACAGGGCGGCTTTGTAAGCAGGGCTTCCAGAGCAGGCCAGGCAGGGAAACGATACCGTATGCACAGGATTAGATGTACAGTCGCATTCTCTTGCATGCTGTGTTGCACATGTTAACAATAAGCTTCCACACAAACAGAGGATGCATCAGTCACATGCTGAGTTTGGTGTGGTCCAATTGACTTGATTCATTTCCTGTGTCTTGTACAATGGCACAATATACTGTTTCAGCATCAACATTGTGATGTAAAGTAGGTCACGTTAACCCAAACACGTCATGTTAGAACTTTGTTTGCTGCTTAATAAAAAATAAAACTCATTATCCACGACTACTATACAAGTCTGTCTAACAGAACACAACTCATTCTGATTTAAGGGGGAGTTTTTATTAATTTAACTCTATTTGCAGGACACAGAGTTTGTTGACATTTAGAGTCCACATGCATGTGGACATGCAGAGTCCAACAAAAATGAGTAACAGAGGAGAAAAGGAAGACTGGGTTGCAAAAAGCATAACAACATCAGTTATAGGACTGCATATTAGTCACAATTTTGCCTTCTCACAGTTAAATAAACATGATCGACTGTGATATTGATGTTGAAAATGCTCCCCTACGTAGAAATCCCTCGCTAATTGGTAAATCTGGCATTAGAACGCCTCATTTCACTCTTTCCAAACAAATTTTTGGTTTCACAGCTGTCTGAGCTGTTGCAGTAACTAAGTGGAGACTAGAAGCTTGTCTGTGCACAGAAGACTAGCTAGCATCTTCAGTAGCCAGACAAAAGCATGCCCACAATGACTTGAAATACATCCAAAATATCTTGAAACTTCACCAAAAGAATTTGCAAAAATGTCAAAAATCTGTCCATAAAGGCTCAAAATTTCTACAAAATGACTTATACATTGTCCAATATGACTTAAATGTGTTTAGAACAACTCAAAACTGCCTGAAAGGACACTTTAAATTTAACTTTGGAACACCTTATTTCACTTTTTTTTTTTTTAAATTTAATTATTAAATGTTTGGTCTGACAGCTGACTGAGCTGCTGCAGTAACTGATGGAGACTAGAAGCTTCTCTGTGCACAGCCGACTATCAAGCTTCTACTGTAGCCTGCATGTGAGGCGTTTAAGGAACATCAGTAAATTGTAGGGTCTATTGATTAGCAGGTGTTTGGCAAGTGAGAAGCTTTGGGTGCAAATTGCTTTATTTGGATTTTGCTTTGAGGAAATGCTGTGAATTCAGCTGAAGATTATTTTCGGTCTTATTTTGGTTCTCATTTTCTATGTGCGTTTGATAAAACTACTCTGATTTATAGATTCTTGGAGTTGAACTTTATTTGAAAGAAGCAGAGTTTGTTGACATGCAGACTCCACATGTGCACAGCAAAATGATAATATTAGAGGAGAGAAAAGGAAGATTTTGTTGCAAAAAGAAGCATAACGCCAGTTGTGTGGAATTTTTTGGGCTACAGAAAGGATGACATTGACCAGAAATGTCTACTCTGTCATCAGAGCCTCACTATTGTTGCCACCACATGAGGAAACATGACAGATTTGTTTAGAATGTTCAAAGTCAGATCTGACCTTTTCTTTTTTGAAGAAGAAGAAGATGCCCTCCTCTGCAATCAGCTCATTCATTCTAGGATGATATGATTAAGTATCTAGACCACATGTCATGTCGTACAAAATCCTTCATTTTTTTCATATCAATGTGCCATTTCCCCCCCCAAAAAACATCAGCCCTGGTGTGTTGTTCATGTTTTTGTATTCATTACCTTCTCCCTCATGTCCTCTTCTTCTTCTGTTGCAGGTATGAAACGCCCGTTCAGCCCTTCATCTCTGCCGAACGCTGAGCCGGACCGGAGGGGCGTCGGGGGGCAAATGGACAGCGAGCCCTGCTGCGACGCCCAGGACGAGGGTGCAGCACTGGAGGAGCAGCCAGCAGGTGGAGCTCTGCATTCTGCACTCTACAGACCCAAACGTGAGAGGAAGCAGCGGAGCTACACACTGTGTGAGGTCTGCAACATCCAGCTCAACTCGGCCGCACAGGCCCAGATCCACTACAACGGCAAATCCCACCAGAAGAGACTCAAGCAGATCAGCAATGGCAAGATGCCGAGCAGCACAGGTAGGTGCTGCTCCGCTGACCGCTTTCTTTGTTTGCAAAACAAGATATAAGTGCAGAACATTGGATAAAGCACTCTGCTGCTGCAGTGTCTCGCACAATAGGGTCACGCAGATTAACAGAAATCCCACACATTGTTCACAGCACACTGTCACCAGCCTCCCCGTGCCAATCCCTTGCACTTGTGCTCAATAGAAGTTAAACAAATTGGATTCTATTTGCTGAAATGTGTTCAGACAGAGCCTTGGGCTGAAGACACACAAACACACACACACACACATGCGAGTGCAGCAGCGCTGAGTGAAGTCACAGAGTGAGAAGCTAATTAAGTGCTGGTTGTGTTTGATGGTTGTGTTCCTGGGAGTGAGGCGGCTGGAGTGGACTCGGACATTTTGTCATTCTAGTCTCGTTCGGGACTCTGCCGCTGCAGGGAAATCAGCCTCTCCGGAAAGTTTCACACTTTGTCTGTTGCTCTTTCTTTAGCCTTGCCAAAAAGGATGCACACCAAGCAATTAACACACACAAGCAAAGCGTGCCGGCCGACAATGAGCTCACGCACCCCTGTCGAAAGAGCATATGTAGACATTTAAAATACTGCAAAAAGCCAGTTTAAGCACAAATTGGCGTGTAGTTTGTACGGTGTGTAGTGACGGGTCGGTCTGGAGAATATGAGAAATTGTTGTTTGGTTGTAGAGCAACAAAACTTATGGAACAGTAACTCAGACATTAGAGCGGCTTATTTCAGTCTTTTCTTAACTTTTGGGTCCCAGGTGACTGATGGAGACTAGAGGCTTCTCTATGCACAAGCTTGTCCTGTCCAAAACAAACAAAACTTGTCCAAATAACTACATATTTGTCCAAAACAACTTGAACATGGTCCTAAATGACCTAAAATTAGTCCAAAATTACTTGAAACTCATCAGAATTTGTTGATTTTGACAACTAGAATGCCTATTATACTATTTTCAAGCTATGTTTTTGCCTCTCAGCTGTCTGAGCTGCTGCAGTAACTGAGTGGAGACTAGAGATGACTTGTGAGTGTCTACTGTCAGCCTGCATATGAGGCGTTTAAGGAACATCTGTAAATAGTAGTACTTACTGATAAGACGATCTACAATAAAACATTTTCTACTCTGACTAGGAAATTTTTCTGTAACTTTAGCCACAAGACCAGAGGCTTCTCTGTGCACAGCTAGCTTTAGAGTCTAGGTTTAGGGAACATCTGTAAACTGAAGCAGATGTTCAGCTCGTGAGGAGTTTTGAGTTGCACTTTGTCACTCTAGTCTTGTTTCTTTATTAAAATACACAGCAAAGCATGCAGGCTGACTGTAAGCTCACACATTTAAAAAAAAAAGAGAGCATATATAGAAATTCAAAATACTCCAGAGAGCCAATTCAAGCACAAATTGGCATGTAGTTTGCACAGTGTGAAGCGGCAGGTCGGTCTGTGTTGTAAGACCCAGGGTTCACAGTTGCTCATTTTCTTCTTGACAGGGAAAAATGTGACAATTGTGTTTGAGCACAGCAGGTTTCTGCTGAGGAATTCTGAATTAAGCGATCACACGGCTTACATCTGCCCTCCAGAAATACACACAACAGTCAAGAGGGTGCGGCGGATAATTTGTTCGGATGTCTTGCTTGTGTTTGTGCGTTTCTGTGTTTCTAAAGAGCATTTTGGCAGCATTTCAACCGCCGCCATTTGAACCAGCGTTTTGTAACATTAGATTATTACCTCTCTCAAGGGGGGTGGAAGAACCTCCTCCAGTGGTGGATCAGGCCTGAAAAGATGTTTATAATGCAGCGATGGGAAGAGGCTCAAGAAGGTAGAGGCTCGATCAAGAGTTCACAGGCCAGAGCGGAGGCTTTTCTTCGTATTTATTTTTGAATGTGAGTCTTTGTAGAATCAGAAGCATTCCTAAAAAGAGCAACAATACTCTATATGCTACATACATGCCAGAGAGTCAAGAATTTTTTAGCTGATGTTTCTCGATAAGCTGCATTATGCCACAGGATGGAATGAAACCGTGACATTAAGTGTCTGAACTCGATTTCAGGGCGTTTTTTATTTGCTCCTGTCTCATTTTTACTCACTGTGAACTCATGTTTGACTGCAATATAAAGTCCTGCACCTCTACAGAAACACAGCAACTGTGACTAAAAGGAACTCAGAAATCTTCTGTGCAATATGACACAGTTGTAATGCCATACATTATTTAAAAGATTAATAAAATTAAATAGTAATTAGAGTATACATTATGCAGTGTGTCTGACCCAAAGGTTAAATTGTGGTTTCCGTGGTTTTACAAATTCATCCCGTCTTTCTTTTGTGACATGTGTCATGTGTGGTAATTTAATAATGCGCATTTTAAATGTATTACACAGTACATGTTTAACTTCAGAAGATTATATTGCAAATAAAACTGCAAAATCTGTCATAAAAATTGCAATTAGATGTTGATTTTGACAAGTCAAATTAAGCAAATCGGACACTAGAACGCCTTATTTCACTCTTTTCAAAGTCTTTTTTTGGTTTCACGACTGTCTGAGCTGCTGCAGTACCTGAGTGAAGACTAGAAGCCTATCTGTGCACAGCCGACTAACCAGCTTCTAATGTAGCCAGAAATGACAAAAAATATGTTCAGAATCACTCAAAAGTTGTCCCAGAGTTTTAAACATTGCCCAAACTGACCTAAAATTAATCCAAAATGACTTGAAACATCTCCAAAACAACTCAGAATTTGATTTTTGACAAGTCAAATGAAGTAAATCTGACATTAGAACACCTTATGTCACTCTTTTAAAAGTCATATTTGGTCTCTCAGCTGTCTAAGCTGCTGCAGCAACTGAGTGGAAACTAGAAGCTTATCTGTGCACAGCCGACTAGTTAGCTACTAATATAGCCAGAAATTACAAAAACATGTCCAAAATCACCTAAAAATGTATCCCAAAGTATCAATCATTGTCCAAACTGACCCAAAATTAGTCCAAAATGACTTGAAACTTCTCCAAAACAACTCGGAATTTATTGATTTTGACAATTTAAATTAAGCAAATCTGACATTAGAAGGCCTTATTTAATTTATTTTTAAACAATTCTTTGGCGTCACAGAGCTGCTGCAGTAACTGAGTGGAGACTAGAAGCTTATCTGTGCACAGCCAACTAGCTAGCTTCTACTGTAGCCTGCAAGATTACTTTAAGTTTTATTTTGGTTGTCAAGATCATATCGCGAATCAAATTGCACCAGCTGTCAGAAAAATTGCAATTAGATACAAGCGTTTGATCCGGCGTGTCGCTGTGTTTGGATGCAGTATGCAACGAATTTAATATATTCCACAACAGAACATACCCACAACTTTGTCGCACACTTGTGTCGTGCTGCCTAAACTCCCTGTTTAGCTGCCGGTGATGCAGACTGCATAAATAAAAGTTTGTGGGTTGTGCGTCTGTGTGTAGCGCCGCGTGTGCAGGGGCATGCCGAGCTGTTGTGGTGTTGCAGATTCTCTCTGACATGCAGTCACAATCGCACAGCCTTATCTCTGCTCACCTTCTGCTGACTCCCCGAGGCAGCCAGCCCTGCTGTGTCCTCAGCTCCACCACCGAATCCTCTGCATCCGCCTCAGATATATTTTTAGAAAACAGTCTGCAACTTGTGCTGTGCAGATATAAATTCATGCTTCGGTGCGTCTGTGTTTATGTCAGCCCACATATGTACAGTAAGGCGTCTGCTCCTGGTATGGATGTTTGTAGGTTTGTAGCCCCCATGAATACACAATATATAGTGCGTGTGTGTGTGTGTTGCTTCCTCCCTCTCTGCTTCACTGAGCTGCCAGAAGGTCCACAGCTCCTCTTCTTCTTCTTTCTTCTCTCCTGTCGCCTTCCTTTCTGGCGTAAACGCCGGACATGTGGATCAAACAGTCATAGAGGAAGATGAATGTGTCGCTGATTAAGAGGCTGTTGTCATGGAGAGAAGTGCGTAGAAGAGGATCTGGATGGAGAGAAGGAGCCCAGATGTTGGGTGACAATGTGAGTTCAGGTGCTAATTTATGCGCCTTAATGCCCATTTTTATCTTTTAGCGTTTCATAACGGTATTAAAATATTCATAGCGAACAGCAGCCTGCTTGTTTTCTGGCTGAAGCAATTTGTAGTTCCTGAAGAGGGAATAAAGCAAAACTTAGAAACGGCTCAACAAGAGGTGAACTTCTTCAACTTTGTATTGTTTCAGGTCGTCATGGTTCATTTATGACTCGTCATGCTGTGAACTGTAGATTTTATAGTTCATGCATTTACGCTTTTGTTTACATTTCTGAAATTAATTTTTGTACGTTGATGTCTTTGTTTCTGCCTGTTTGTAAAGTTCAGTGATAATGTAAAAATTATAGCTACCCTGGAACAAAATTTAGGTAAAAAAAACAACGCATTTCCTTTTTAGTTTTTCCGTATTTTTACTAGAAATATGGAAAAACAAATAAGTTAATAAAACATGTGTTTGCTATCCATGTAGGCACACCATGAACAATCACTTTTTGTAGCTGTACGTATAACTTAAGCATAAAATTATGCAGTTTAATTTACAGAAGATGAATCCTAAAAAAAACAAAAACTATTTTTAGATGCAAGTTATTTTATGCTTTATTTACTATTAGCAATTTTTCTACCATAGATTTACCCTAACATAACTAAAGGTGTCCTACTTTCACTATAGATACACCGCTGTCTGCAACCACATGTCCTTTTTTATTATTGATATTACAGATTTGCTATTAAAATACAGAAAATAGGCTCTTTTTCAATGTAGACACGGTAAAATGTAGTAACTTTTTTTTTTTTAAATTACAAATTTACCATTAAATCTATGACCAAGTTTAGGTATTGAGCAATCAGTACATTTTCTGTTATTTTCTAGCTTTATTTTCCACTATAAACACACCATTATATAAGAACAAATGCTCATTTTTATTACAAACTTACCATTCAAATACAGATAATGAACCATTTAAAATG